GCCTCAGCAGCCACAGCAGCAGCAGCCCCGACAGCAGGCTCAGAGGCCGCCCCAGCAGCAGCAGCAGAGGGGCAGACAGCAGGCCCGAGTCTATGCAGTTGATCAGGCCGAGGCAGAGCAGCAACCAGGTACCATGTCAGGGATGCTTATGCTTAATGATGTTCCTGTTTTCGCCTTGTTTGATACTGGAGCGACGCATTCTTTCATATCAGGACGATGTCTTGATGCCATCGGAGTACATGCCGTTACCGCTGTCAATCCTCTCGAGGTGAGTTTAGCCTCGGGACGAAAGATAGTGACCACTGCTAAAGCTTCAGATCTCAGCCTTTCCATCGGTGGTCGTATATTGTCTACCGACGCTTATGTTCTCGAGATGAGGGATTTTGACCTCATTCTCGGAATGGATTGGTTATCATATTTTCATGTAGACATTCGATGCCATGACCGAGAGATTACTCTTTATCTTCCAGGAGATGATTTTATTACTTTCTTTGGCACCAAGAATCAGTCCTTACCTCATGTCGTTTCGATGGAGAAAGCCACCAAGATGTTAAGACGAGGCGACTGTTAGGGTTATCTTGTGAGCCTTGTCGATGATTCTCCAAAGGAACGAACACCTCAGGACGTTCCTGTTGTTCGTGAGTTTGTGGACGTGTTTCTGGACGAACTTCCAGGAGGACTGCCTAACCGGCAGGTAGAGTTATCTATCAATCTCATTCCAGGAGACGGCCCAGTATCCAGAGCCCCGTATCGTATGGCGCCAAAGGAGTTGCAGGAGCTTAAAGCGCAAATCCAGGAGTTATTGCGACTCGGTTTCATTCGACCGAGCCTTTCACCATGGAGAGCACCCGTTCTCTTTGTCAAGAAGAAGGACGGTTCCATGCGCATGTGTATCGACTATCGGGATCTTAACCGGTTGACGATCAAGAATAAGTATCCGCTTCCCAGGATTGACGATTTATTTGATCAACTGAGGGGAGCTTGCGTTTTCTCCAAGATTGATTTACGATCAGGCTACCATCAGCTGAAAATCAAGGAGTCAGATATTGCTAAGACCGCTTTCCGTACTCGTTACGGCCATTATGAGTTTGTCGTCATGCCATTTGGCCCCAGTAATACTCCAGCAGTTTTCATGGACCTGATGAACCGTATTTTCCATCCTTACCTCGATCATTTCGTTATTTTTTTCATTGACGATATCCTTATCTACTCCAAGAGCCAGAAGGAGCACGAGTAGCATTTGAGGGTTGTTCTCGAAACCCTCAGACGAGAAAAATTATATGCAAAAATCTCCAAATGCGAATTCTGGCTCCAGCGAGTAGCCTTTTTTGCCATGTCATTACTCAGGCAGGTATCGAGGTAGATCCTTCCAAGGTTTCAGCTGTTCAGAACTGGTCGACATTGAAGAGTCCGTCCGAGGTTCGCAGTTTTCTCGGTTTAGCTGGCTATTACCGCAGATTCATTGAGGGATTTTCCAAGATTGCCCTCCCTTTATCTCAGCTAACGAGGAAGTCTATGAAGTTCGAGTGGACTGATCGTTGTGAATCAAGCTTTCAGGAGCTCAAGAAGAGGTTAACTTCAGCACCGGTGTTGACTATTCCCGATTCTTCTCGGAGTTTCACCATTTTCAGTGATGCTTCGAGACAGGGTTTGGGATGCGTACTCATGCAGGATGGCCAGGTCATTGCTTACGCTTCACGCCAGCTAAAGCCACACAAACAGAAGTAGCTGATGCACGACTTAGAGTTAACTGCAGTTGTTCATGCTCTCAAGATTTGGCGACATTATTTATACGGCGATCGATGCGAGATTTTCCCCGAGCACAAGAGCTTGTAATATATTTTCACTCAGAAGGAGCTCAACATGAGACAGCACCGTTGGTTGGAGCTTGTCAAAGATTACGATTGCACGATTCAGTACCATCCGAAAAAGGCGAACGTCGTTGCGGACGCCCTAAGCCGCAAGGTGAGGGGTGACTTGATGTACGTCGTTACTCAGCAGAGCCGTTTGATTCAGGTACTCACCCGGATGCAGATTCAGGTAGTTGATGCACTTCCCACGGCCATTGCAGGGAGTGTCAGTTCCATGCAGATTCAGCCTACGCTGAGAGAGAGAATCTGGCAGGAGCAAGCTTCTGACGAATTCATTCGTGTAATGGATTCCAAAGTTCGCGCCGGAGGCGTCGAGGGTTTTCACCGAGGCACCAATGGCCTTGGAGTTCCGCGGCAGGATTGTGGTGCCAAAAGTCGAGGCGTTGCAGAAAGAGATATTGACGGAGGCTCATACCGCACCATATCTAGCCCATCCCGGAAGCACGAAGATGTATCATGACCTGAAAGGGTTGTTCTGGTGGCGAGGGATGAAGAAGCACGTTGTCGACTTTGTGAGGAGATGTTTTACCTGTCAGCAAGTCAAACCCGAACATAAGAGTCTGATAGGCCTCCTGCAACCACTACCGATTCCAAAGTGGAAGTGGGAGGACGTTACGATGGATTTTGTCACGTGGTTACCGAGGTCGTCTGAACATCACGATGTTATTTGGGTCGTGGTCGACAGATTGACTAAGGTCGCTCATTTCTTACCAGTATCGATGAAGATGTCTTTGGACAAGTTGGCTGATATTTATACCCGTGGGATCGTTTGACTCCACAGAATGCCTGTTACTATCGTGTCAGACAGAGACCTCAGATTCACCAGTAGATTCTGGCAGAGTTTACACGAGGCAATGGGCACGAGACTAGAGTTCAGTTCAGCCTACCATCCAAAGACTGATGGACAATCAGACAAACCATTCAGACATTGGAGGATATGTTATGAGCTTTGGTTGTTGACAGGGGTGCTAAGTAGGAGTCATTGTTGCCCTACGTTGAGTTTGCATACAACAACAGTTATCATTCTTCTATTCAGATGGCTCCTTACGAGGCACTTTATGGTTGTAAGTGTCGTTCTCCTCTTTATTGGGACGACGTCGGCCAGCGTCGAGTACTCGGTCCGAAGATGATCGAGGAAACTGCAGATCAGGTCGAGTTGATCCGGCAGAGACTCAAGACAGCTCAGAGTCGACAGAAATCATTAGCCGATCAGCATCGACGAGATATTCAGTTTGAGGTTGGTGAGCCAGTTTTTCTCAGAGTTCGTCCATTACGCGGAGTTGTTCGATTCGAGAAGAGAGGGAAGCTACACCCTCGATTCATTGGCCTATTCGAAGTTCTCAAGCGAGTAGGCGAAGTTGCATATCGATTAACCTTACCTCCCGAGTTATCCAGTATCCATAATGTTTTTCATGCATCCATGTTACGTAAGTACGTGTGCGACCCCGATCATGTCATTCATCATACCGATATTCAGATTCATTCAGATTTATCTTACGAGGAGCGACCGGTAGCTGTACTGGACCGTCAGGTTTGTCGGCTTCGGAAGCGTGATGTTCCCCTCGTTCGTATTCAGTGGGATCGTCACGGAGTCACTTGGGAGCACGAGGCTAATATTCGCGCTCGTTTTCCTGATTTTCAGTTCTGATGTATATATTTCTTATGTTTCATGTATATTAATGCAAGTGTAAGCGTCCGGGTCCGGTTTGGAGTAGATCGGTT